TTTAGGAGAGCTGATTTCCAAAAAATGAAGGAAACTGAGCAGCATTCCGTGGACACAGATACTAAAAGATAAGGGAGTTACGGATGGATGGGAATTTCTCAAGAGTGAAATACTCAAGGCACAATTGCAAACTGTGCCAACAAAGAGAAAAAATAGGACAAGTGCAAAGAAGCCAGAATGGATGTCCAAAGAACTCCTAACTGTGCTAAAACACAAAAGAGACATGCACAAGAAGTGGAAAAAGGGAGAAATCACCAAAGAAGAATTCAAACAAATAGCCAACACCTGTAGGGAAAAGGTCCGCAAGGCTAAAGCACAAAACGAGCTCAGGCTTGCCAGGGACATTAAAAATAAAAAGGGATTCTTTTCTTATGTCAGTAGAAAAAGGAAAAACAAGGAGGCGATAGGGCCTCTTTGAGGAGAAGATGGGGGTAGGGAAAAGGCAGAACTACTTAATGCCTTCTTTACCTCGGTCTTCTCACAAAAAGAAAGTCATCTTCAACCTCAGCAAGATGGAGTGGATGAGGGATTAAAGGACATCCAACCCCAAATTGGGAAACAAGTCGTCCAGGAATACCTGGCCGCTCTAAATGAGTTCAAGTCCCCAGGGCCAGATCAACTACACCCAAGAGTATTGAAGGAACTAGCGGAAGACATTTGGCAATCATCTTTGAGAGTTCTTGGAGAACGGGAGAAGTTCCAGCAGATTGGAGGAGGACCAATGTGGTCCCAATCTTCAAGAAGGGGAAAAAAGATGACCCAAACAATTACTGCCCGGTCAGCCTCACATCGATACCAGGCAAGATTCTGGAAAAGATTGTTAAGGAAGTGGTCTGCAAACACTTAGAAACAAATGCGGTCATTGCAAATAGTCAACATGGATTTATCAAAAACAAGTCATGCCAGACTAATCTGATCTCTTTTTTCGATAGAGTTACAAGCTGGGTAGATGTGGGGAATGCCGTGGATATGGCGTACCTGGATTTCAGTAAGGCCTTCGACAAGGTCCCCCATGACCTTCTGGCAAGGAAACTAGTCCAATGTGGGCTAGGCAAAACTACGGTGAGGTGGATCTGTAATTGGTTAAATGGACGAACCCAGAGGGTGCTCACCAATGCTTCCTCTTCATCCTGGAAAGAAGTGACAAGTGGAGTGCCGCAGGGTTCCGTCCTGGGCCCGGTCCTGTTCAACATCTTTATTAATGACTTAGATGAAGGGCTAGAAGGCAGGATCATCAAGTTTGCAGACGACACCAAATTGGGAGGGATAGCCAATACTCCAGAGGACAGGAGCAGGATTCAAAACGATCTTGACAGATTAGAGAGATGATGGGCCAAAACTAACAAAATGAAGTTCAACAGTGACAAATGCAAGATACTCCACTTTGGCAGAAAAAACGAAATGCAAAGATACAGAATGGGGGACAATGCCTGGCTCGAGAGCAGTACGTGTGAAAAAGATCTTGGAGTCCTTGTGGACAACAAGTTAAACATGAGCCAACAGTGTGATGTGGCGGCAAAAAAAAAGCCAATGGGATTTTGGTCTGCATCAATAGGAGCCTAGTGTCTAGATCTAGGGAAGTCATGCTCCCCATGCTCTATTCTGCTCTGGTTAGACCACACCTGGAATATTGTGTCCAATTCTGGGCACCACAATTCAAGAGAGATATTGACAAGCTGGAATGTGTCCAGAGGAGGGCGACTAAAATGATCAGAACAAGCCCTATGAGGAGCGGATTAAGGAGCTGGGCATGTTTAGCCTGAAGAAGAGAAGGCTGAGAGGGATATGATAGCCATGTATAAATATGTGAGGAGGAAGCCCCCCACAGGAGATCCAGGGCAGCAAAAAACAATATGTGAAAGGAAGCCACAGGGAGGAGGGAACAAGCTTGTTTTCTGCTACCTTGGAGACTAGGACGCGAAACAATGGTTTCAAATTACAAGAAAGGAGATTCCATCTGAATATTAGGAAGAACTTCCTGACCGTGAGAGCCGTTCAGCAGGAACTCCCTGCTCAGTAATGTGGTAGAGGCTCCTTCTTTGGAAGCTTTTAAACAGGCTGGATGGCCATCTGTTGGGGGTGCTTTGAATGCAATATTCCTGCTTCTGCAGAATGGGGTGGACTGGATGGCCCAGGAGGTCTCTTCCAACTCTTTGATTCTATGATTCTGTGTTCAATTCTGTGTTAATGTTTGTATTTTAATGGATTTTAAATTGTCGTGAAATGCTTTTAATGTTGTCTGTTTTGAGCCTCCTTGTGGAGAAAAAAAACAGGGTATAAATATGCAATCCTGTACCATTAGTAAAGATCCTTCCAGCCATCTCCCAAGCCGACATGTAATCCCTATGGGTCACATACCCTTTCGAATGGGTACCTGACCCTGTAGATATCACAACGTGGGTTTTGGAGCAACATGTGGACTTCTACAAGCGAGGTGTGTTGTCGAAGGCATTCACAGCCGGAAACACTGGGTTGCTGTGTGTTTTCCAGGCTGTCTGGCCATGCTCCAGAAGCATTCTCTCCTGACGTTTCGTCCACATCTATGGTAGGCATCCTCAGAGGTTGTGTGGTCTGTTGGAAACTAGGCAAATAGGGTTTATATATCTGTGGAATGATGCCCAGAGAAAGAACTCTTGTCTGCTTGAGGCAAGTGTGAATGTTGCAATTGGCCAGCTTGATTAGCACCAAATAGCCTTGCAGCTTCAAAGAAGTAATACAAATTATTATTATTATTATTATTAGTGGAATGATCAATATCAGGAGAGGCAAGTAATACATACAAATTATTATTATTATTACTATTATTATTATTTGTGGAATGATCAATATCAGGAGAGGCAAGTAATACATACAAATTATTATTATTATTATTATTATTATTATTATTATTATTAGTGGAATGATCAATATCAGGAGAGGCAAGTAATACATACAAATTATTATTATTATTATTATTATTAGTGGAATGATCAATATCAGGAGAGGCAAGTAATACATACAAATTATTATTATTATTATTATTATTAGTGGAATGATCAATATCAGGAGAGGCAAGTAATACATACAAATTATTATTATTATTATTATTATTATTATTAGTGGAATGATCAATATCAGGAGAGGCAAGTAATACATACAAATTATTATTATTATTATTATTATTATTATTATTATTATTAGTGGAATGATCAATATCAGGAGAGGCAAGTAATGCATACAAATTATTATTATTATTATTATTATTATTATTAGTGGAATGATCAATATCAGGAGAGGCAAGTAATACATACAAATTATTATTATTATTATTATTATTAGTGGAATGATCAATATCAGGAGAGGCAAGTAATACATACAAATTATTATTATTATTATTATTATTAGTGGAATGATCAATATCAGGAGAGGCAAGTAATACATACAAATTATTATTATTATTATTATTATTATTATTATTTGTGGAATGATCAATATCAGGAGAGGCAAGTAATACATACAAATTATTATTATTATTATTATTATTAGTGGAATGATCAATATCAGGAGAGGCAAGTAATACATACAAATTATTATTATTATTATTATTATTAGTGGAATGATCAATATCAGGAGAGGCAAGTAATACATACAAATTATTATTATTATTATTATTATTATTATTATTTGTGGAATGATCAATATCAGGAGAGGCAAGTAATACATACAAATTATTATTATTATTATTATTATTAGTGGAATGATCAATATCAGGAGAGGCAAGTAATACATACAAATTATTATTATTATTATTATTATTAGTGGAATGATCAATATCAGGAGAGGCAAGTAATACATACAAATTATTATTATTATTATTATTATTATTATTAGTGGAATGATCAATATCAGGAGAGGCAAGTAATACATACAAATTATTATTATTATTATTATTATTATTATTATTTGTGGAATGATCAATATCAGGAGAGGCAAGTAATACATACAAATTATTATTATTATTATTATTATTATTATTATTTGTGGAATGATCAATATCAGGAGAGGCAAGTAATACATACAAATTATTATTATTATTATTATTATTATTATTATTATTAGTGGAATGATCAATATCAGGAGAGGCAAGTAATACATACAAATTATTATTATTATTATTATTATTATTAGTGGAATGATCAATATCAGGAGAGGCAAGTAATACATACAAATTATTATTATTATTATTATTATTATTATTAGTGGAATGATCAATATCAGGAGAGGCAAGTAATACATACAAATTATTATTATTATTATTATTATTATTATTAGTGGAATGATCAATATCAGGAGAGGCAAGTAATACATACAAATTATTATTATTATTATTATTATTATTATTATTATTAGTGGAATGATCAATATCAGGAGAGGCAAGTAATACATACAAATTATTATTATTATTACTATTATTATTATTATTATTAGTGGAATGATCAATATCAGGAGAGGCAAGTAATACATACAAATTATTATTATTATTATTATTATTATTTGAAACACAACAAGATGAGTCCACAGCAGACAATCACTCTGCTGACTGTTGTATTGGATCACACGTCGGACACTTCCCAAGTGTCTAGGACTGTGTGATGTATCGGCGAATAATGCTTGCAGATCCCAATAAGGTGGCCTTTTGCAGCTGGCAGATGGTAATTTTCTCACCGCCGATTGTGTTTAAGTGCAGGTCAAGGTCTTTAGGCACTGTACCCAGTGTGCCGATCACCACTGGGACCACCTTTATTATTATTATTATCATCTGTGGAATGATCATCATCAAGAGAGGCAGGTAATACATACAAGTTATTATTATTATTATTATTATTATTATTATTATTGGAATGATCATCATCAGGAGAGGCAGGTAATATATACCTATTATTATTATTATTATTATTATTATTATTATTATTATTATTAAATATGGGGTGGAAAGGAAAGGAAGAAAACACTCAGCTCACCCGAGTTTATGGCCTTCCGGAGACTCGGAGGCGGCAGCTCCTCCTTGGTGCTTCCTGTTGTGTTCGCGGGGTGTTTTTCGGACCCAGTGGAGAATCGGAACTGGACACTTCCTGATTCAACCTGCTTCACCTGTAAAATGCAAAAAAGAAAGAGCAAAGGGAAGAAAAGAGTATGCAATAGACTTGTGCAATCAATGAAAACATTGTCGGGCGGGGGGGGGGGGAGGGCGGGCATAATTTCTAAGGTATTTCCGAAATTGGAGGGGGATCTGTGTCGGAATTTTAATGCGGTAATTAGCTTTTTGCTGCGTAATTACATAAGCGAGGAAACTTCAGGGGCTCCTTTCTCCCTCATTGTTAGAGCTATTGGCAAGAAACTTGCTCCAGCTGTAAAACACATTTACCACTGTGAAACGTAGTTCAGCCAGCTGAGGATGATGATGAGGGGTTTGAGAGTGCAGGGCCTGCTCATACAGAGGGGATTGCTGTCCTTAATTAGGGAAAGAATAGCTTTCAGTTCTCAGATCAAGCAACGTAGCAGATGGAGCAAGAAACTCCTATCTTAGTTCTTGCTTCAAGCCATGTCTTGGTCAAGTTTTGCTTTAAGTCTTGGGGATTTTACCATGGACTCAAGCTCATGTATTGTTCTTTGTTTCTTGGATTACTCAAGTTGATGTTTTATTCCTTGTTTTTTGGATTAATCAAGCTCATGATTTTCCCCTGCTCCTTGGATCTATGTTCATGCGTTAAGTTTTGCATTGTGTTGTGGCTGAGATGTTCTGTGATGATGAGGATGATGGGATTCAGATTCCTGGCTCTTTTTCTGTGCCTCAGATCTCTGGGCCTGCGGCTCCCACAGACAGCACAGACAGTGCAGAGTCAACATTAACACAGCGGTTCCCAAGTGAAATGAATTTTAACGGAGATAGCGAACAGGTGGGGAGGCATTTGCCTCCTTCCCACGCTGATACTGAAAGTACTGAAAGCCTTGACAGTGACCTGACTCGGTAGGCTCGTCTTGATCTCCGGGTCAGGCAGAGTTCTCGCCTGGCCGGCAGATGAGAGGCCAGCTCGGGGAAAGGTCATCGCAATGATTTCATGTAATGTTTTCATGTTAGAAAGGTATTTAGGCTTCTCGCAAACCAAGGGAAAGTGTCAGTTCAACGTAGCTTATTAGCCTGAAAGCTTCATGGAATAATCTTAGCCTGGAAAGCAGTACGCTTGGGATTTCTTGCATTGTGATTCATGGGGCAATTGTTTCATTGCTTGTACCTGGGACTCTGGTTTGAACTTTGCCAATAGGATTGTGTCTCCTGCTTTTATCTGAAGATCTTTGAAATATATTCCGCATTTAACCTTAATCCTTGGAACGTTGCAATGCTTATTCTTTATGCTGACTTGGATTTTTTTCCTCAATAAACTATAAAACTACAGCTCTTGCGTGGTGGTGTTTGGAAGCAAGGTGAAGCTTACTCTGAGTTGCAACACATTGGAGATTTATCTCTGGCTTTTGGGACTCTATTTATATTCCCTATTTGGATTTTTTACTCTTTTACTGTGTGTGCTTTTTCAATAAACTGTTTATTCCTATGTTCAGGGGCGGCTCGTCCATTACGCAAAGTAAGCGGTCGCAGAACACTTTTTTTTGCCAGGGGCGCAGAGGAGCCTCTGTAAATGCCCCTCGACCACCACTTGAGGAGCGCCCCCTCAGCTCACAACAGCCCTAGCAGTCCGGGGGAAGCCTCAGCTTTCTTGCCTCGCTGCCAGGCGATCCTCTTCCCAAATGGGCTGGGCCCTTGAGCCTTGCCTAGCCCCTCTCGTTCCTGCTCCACCCGGCCACCGGGTGCGAGAGCAGAGCCGGCGCTCACTCGTTCTCCATGTTCGATCCCTTCCCCATGACTGGCTCCCTTTCCCGATCACCCGACACTCCACCCGCCTCCTCTCCTCTCCCCAATCCGCGGGTGGGCCAAGGGGCAGAGCCGCGGTGCCTGGCCCGCTTCGGGTCCGGAGGCGTGTCTGAAGACCCCAGCGTGCGCACCAAAAGTCGCCTCTTCTCCTGACTTTCTCTTCAGCCATTGGGACCAAGAGAGAGAGAGAGAGCCCCTCCGGCTGGAGGTATCTCCCACCTCCGCTCCTTCCTTTGTTTTTGCGCCTACCTTCAGGAAAGGTGGGCATCTCCACCTCTCTCTCTCTCTCTCTCGGTCCCAATGGCTGAGGAGAAAGTCAGGAGAAGAGGTGACTTTTGGTGCACACCGGGGTCTTCAGGCACACCTCCGGACACAAAGCGGGCCAGGCAAGGGAGCAAGTGCGGCAAGTGTAGTTACTGGGATGTATAGTTCACCTACAATCAAAGAGCATTCTGAACTCCACCAATGATGGAATTGAACCAAATATGGCACACAGAACTCCCACGATGAACAGAAAATATATATCAATGATTGGTTGGGGGGGGGGGTGCGCCAAAATACTGTTTGCTTACCGTTGAAAATTACCTAGGGCCGCCTCTGCTACGTTTGACTTCCTGGTGAGTGCATGAGCAAGGTGAACCCTAGCTGAAGTGCAACATCTTTTATGGAAAATTTTGAATCTGACCACTTGAAAATGGAGACGACTAACCTAGGGCCAATGTGGGAAGTGCACTCTTACCTCTTCGGAGCTCATGGCAGCCGGGGGTGTCTTGTACACCAGGACGTGGCTGGGATTGCGCTGGGCCCCTCCTTGCAGCGGGAGGACCACCTCCACCGAGGCTGACACATCCAGTGAGGGGCTCCAAACGGCCCAGCGGACGGGGTGCATGTAGGACGGGGCTGTCAAAGAGGTGACGGAGGAGGAGGCCTGCAGGGTACAACAGGGAAAGAAGGGCGCAAGCATTAAAGGCCAGTCTCTGGATCCCATTACATTTTCAGTCCAACATTTGCATGCACATCATCTTTCCTGTGGGCATCTATCCTAAACCGCCCCTGAGTCCAATCTGAGCATGAATCTTGATTCAACTGTATTTACTTGCACATCACAAGTGCTGAACCTGACTTAGCACATAGAAGATGGCTTTGAAAAGCAGCAGAATACAGGAGCTGTCTTCATAGACCTGTCAGCAGACTATGATACTGTGAACCACCGCCTCCTTCTGAGAAAAATGTATAATATCACAAAGGACGACCACCTCACCCGCCTCATAGGAAACCTGCTACAAAACAGGAGCTTCTTTGTTGAGTTCCAGGGCCAGAGAAGCAGATGGCGGAAACAGAAGAACGGCCTGCCTCAGGGGAGCGTGCTTGCTCCATCCATGTTCAGCATCTACACAAATAACCAGCCACTGCCAGAAGGGACAGTTTCATCTATGCTGATGATCGTGCCATTACCACTCAAGCAGGGAGCTTTGAGATGGTTGAACAGAAGCTCTCCGAAGCTCTAAGGGCTCTTACTGCCTACAACAGGGAAAACCAGCTGATCCCTAATCCATCTAAAACACAGACATGTGCCTTTCACCTTAAGAATAGACAAGCATCCCGAGCTCTGAAGATCACCTGGGAAGAATCCCACTGGAGCATTGCCCAAGATACCTATCCGACCGCATCTCGGCCTATGAGCCCACCAGGACTTTGAGATCTTCCGGGGAGGCCCTGCTCTCGATCCTGCCTGCTTCACAAGCATGGCTTGCAGGGACGAGAGATAGGGCCTTCTCGGTGGTGGCTCCTCGGCTGTGGAACACCCTTCCCGTGGACATTAGACTGGCACCTTCCCTGATGATATTCCGCAGGAAATTAAAGACTTGGTTGTTCAAGAAGGCGTTCGGATAAGAAGTGCAATGATTGGTCATGACTATAGGAACGGAACAACGGAAAATGATATTGGATTGTGGTTTGGACGATGAGACGACGCTGAATGGTTTTCCTAGTAATGATGATGTTTTTGTATAATGCTGGATTGTGAATTGTTTTTATACTCTGTCTTGAATTTTGCTGTTCCTATGTTGTACACCGCTGTGAGTCGCCCCCGGGCTGAGAACAGCGGTATATAAGTAAAGTAAATAAATAAATAAATAAACACACCCAAATACCTGGGAGTCACCCCGGACCGTGCTCTGATCTACAAGAAGCATTGCCTGAACATCAAGCAAAAAGTGGGCGCTAGAAACAGCCTATGAGACTGTGAATCACCGCCTCCTCCTGAGAAAAAATGTATAATATCACAAAGGACGACCACCTCACCCGCCTCATAGGAAACCTGCTACCAAACAGGAGCTTTTTCGTTGAGTTCCAGGGCCAGAGAAGCAGATGGCGGAAACAGAAGAACGGCCTGCCTCAGCGGAGCGTGCTTGCTCCATCCATGTTCAACATCTACACAAATGACCAGCCACTGCCAGAAGGGACAGAGAGTTTCATCTATGCTGATGATCGTGCCATTACCGCTCAAGCAGGGAGCTTTGAGATGGTTGAACAGAAGCTCTCCGAAGCTCTAGGTGCTCTAACTGCCTATTATAGGGAAAACCAACTGATCCCTAATCCATCTAAAACAAAGACATGTGCCTTTCATGTTCAGAACAGACAAGCATCCCGAGCTCTGAGGATGACCTGGGAAGGAATCCCACTGGAGCATTGCAGCGCACCCAAGTACCTGGGAGTCACTCTGGACCGTTCTCTGACCTACAAGAAGGACTGCCTGAACATCAAACACCAAATTGGGAGGGATAGCCAACACTCCAGAGGACAGGAGCAGGATTCAAAACGATCTTGACAGATTAGAGAGATGATTGGCCAAAACTAACAAAATGAAGTTCAACAGGGACAAATGCAAGATACTCCACCTTGGCAGGAAAAACGAAATGGGGGACGCCTGGCTCGAGAGCAGTACGTGTGAAAAAGATCTTGGAGTCCTCGTGGACAACAAGTTAAACATGAGCCAACAATGTCATGTGGCGGCAAAAAAAGCCAATGGGATTTTGGCCTCCATCTAGAGGAGCATAGTGTCTAGATCTAGGGAAGTCATGCGCCCCATGCTCTATTTCGCTTTGGTTAGACCACACCTGGAATATTGTTTCCAGTTCTGGGCACCACAATTCAAGAGAGATATTGACTCTAAGCTGGAATGTGTCCAGAGGAGGGCGACTCAAATGATCAAGGGTCTGGAGAACAAGCCCTGTGAGGAGTGGCTTAAGGAGCTGGGCATGTTTAGCCTGAAGAAGAGAAGGCTGAGAGAGGATATGATAGCCATGTATAAATATGTGAGAGGAATCCACAGTGAGGAGGGAGCAAGCTTGTTTTCTGCTTCCTTGGAGACTAGGACGCAATGGAACAATGGCTTCAAACTACAAGAGAGGAGATTCCATCTGAACATGAGGAAGAACTTCCTTACTGTGAGAGCCGTTCAGCAGTGGAACTCTCTGCCCCAGAGTGTGGTGGAGGCTCCTTCTTTGGAAGCTTTTAAACAGAGGCTGGATGGCCATCTGTCAGGGGTGATTTGAATGCAATATTCCTGCTTCTTGGCAGAATGGGGTTGGACTGGATGGCCCACGAGGTCTCTTCCAACTCTATGATTCTGTGATGCTTCGTCCGACTACAGATTCTGTACTTGGCACTTTTATCCCCTAATGTCCCATGTGGCCAGGAATGGATTTCGTTTCAGCCTTGAATCCGTTATCAATCTCTCTCTCAGCCTGGCAGAACGCCTGAGAGATTGGTTTGTTTTCCTGTGCTGACTAAAAACATGCCTTCTATCTGCTGGCTCATTAATTTCTGCAGCTGGCCCAGGTGCTGAGCTATTCTCAGGCTCCAAATCATGATTTGAATGCAATATTCCTGCTTCTTGGCAGAATGGGGTTGGACTGGATGGCCCATGAGGTCTCTTCCAACTCTTTGATTCTATGATTCTTGGATTCTATGAACTCAAAAACTACTGGATGAATTGACACCAAATTTGGACACAAGACACCTCTCAGGCTGACGAGTGATCATCACTCATAAAAACACAGAAAAACACAGCGGAAGGGACCTAAAATCCAAAAAAGCAAAAAGACGCTACAGCGCATGCACAAAAACGACTTCCCCTAGCAAACAAAACACACAACAGCATATCTACACTCTCTTCCGGACTACAGCTCCCAGCATCCCATAGACCAGGCCCTTTAGGAGAGGAGGAGGATCCAAATGTATTACTTCCAAGAGGCAAGCTTTCTTCTTGGATTTCTTTGAGAGCATCCCAGTCTTTGAGTTCTACAGCTCTTTCACAATATTTTGAAATACTTTTCTGTACATTGCAAATCCCAGGATTGTATAAAATGCTTCTATGGTAGTTAAATCGAAACCAGTGTGTGTGCCATGCGAAAGAGACGCTTCTTGATACAGATCAGCCATTTGAATGCGGCTCTATATGAGTCGTCCGGACCAGCAGGATTGAGAAAGCTGAGGAAAGAAGAAAGGATCCAGGCCTCGCTATTGATCTTCCAGCCGCAGACCTTCTTGTCACCCAGCTACCTGCTGAATTTCATCAGAAGCATAGCCCAGCAAGACATTTTTTTTCCAAACAGGGCTTCCTTTCAGTTGCACGGCTATAAATATTAAAACAGGTGCTTCGACTTGGTATTCCCAGGCGTCGAAAAGGCAGCGTTGGGGCCGATAGAAAGCAACACCTATTGTGCCCTCAGGGTTGTGTCGGGAGGGAACACTGGGTACACACCACTGGTGCGTGCCAGACACACGGGCAATTGCCACCCTTGGGAAAAACGAGATCAGACACTTCATCAGGGCGGCTGCGAGAATGTTACAGATGTAGTACATCAATGCCAGCAATGTTTGAGACCGCCCGACCTTTTGATCAGGCGCGGCGCGGCAAAATGCGAGGGACAGGGAGTGTTTTTTGGAAGGGACACGTGTTTCTTCTTCTATTTCTTGTGCCGATATGCAGAGGTGCCTGAAAGCCGTACAGTGTTCCCTCACTTAGTGCGGGGGTTGTGTTCCAAGACCCCTCGCGGTAAGATTCTGGAAAAGATTGTGAAGGAAGGGGTCTGCAAACACTTAAAAACAAATGCTAAGAGTCATCATGGATTTATCAAAAACAAGTCATGCCAGACTAATCTGATCTCTTTTTTCGATAGAGTTACAAGCTGGGTAGATGCGGGGAAGGCCGTGGATGGAGCGTGTCTGGATTTCAGGAAGGCCTTCTTTGACAAGGTCCCCCATGACCTTCTGGTAAGGAAACTGGTCCAATGTGGGCTAGGCAAAACTACGGTGAGGTGGATCTGTAATTGGTTGAATGAACGAACCCAGAAGGTTCGTTCAGACCTCATTACCTCTGAGGATGCTTGCCATAGATGCAGGCGAAACGTCAGGAGAAAAATTGCCTCCAGAACATGGCCATATAGCCCGGAAAAACCTACAACAACCCATGGATTCCGGCCATGAAAGCCTTCGACAAGTCTAACCCAGAGGGTGATTCTCACCAATGCTTCCTCTTCATCCTGGAAAGAAGTGACGAGTGGAGTGCCGCAGGGTTCGTCCTGGGCCCGGTCCTGTTCAACATCTTTATTAATGACTTAGATGAAGGGCTAGAAGGCAGGATCATCAAGTTTGCAGACGACACCAAATTGGGAGGGAGAGCCAAACTCCAGAGGACAGGAGCAGGATTCAAAATGATCGTGACAGATTAGAGAGATGATGGGCCAAAACTAACAAAATGAAGTTCAACAGGACAAATGCAAGATACTCCACTTTGGCAGGAAAAAAAATGCAAAGATACAGAATGGGGGATGCCTGGCTCGAGAGCAGTACGTGTGAAAAAGATCTTGGAGTCCTCGTGGACAACAAGTTAAACATGAGCCAACAATGTGATGTGGCGGC